AACAAGAGTTTACTAATTTAGGAAGTATTTTTCTATATTTTAAGTATTTTTAGGAGATGGAAAAAAGTGGTTAATAGACACAACAAAGCAAGTATTACTGGGGCATCTGGGTGGCTCAGTCAGTTAAGTGTCTAACTTTTGATTTTGGCTTGGGTCATGATCTCAGGGTCTTGAGATCAAGCTGTGCATCAGGCTCTGTGCAGGGGGTGGAGCCTGCTTAAGATTTTCTGTCTTCCTCTCCCCCTCTGGAAAAAAAAGCCAGTATTAGAATAATTATTATTTTCTTAGTTTCACAGGCTTCCCAAACATGTGGGATATGTAGAGTTGCCTATATTTTTAATTCTATCAACTAATAATATATATGATTATATATATATAATGAAAATGTGTTTATCATTTCTATTTTCATAAAATTCTAAATATTTTCTTTTTCTATTTGTTTATAAATTCTTATAACTTAAATGTATTAAGTATTTAGTTTTACTGATCTGTAATCAGTAATTTAGAAATTGGCCAGGTGAGGAGGCTGCTAATAAGAATAAAGCTGATGATATGGGGCACCTAGGTGGCTCAGTTGGTTAAGTATCTGCCTTTAGCTCAGGTCATGATCCTGGAGTTATGGGATTGAGCCCCACTTTGGGTTCTCTGCTCAGTGGGAAGTCTACTCTCTCTTCCTCTCCCTCCCCCCGCCCCCACTCATGCTCTCTTTCTCATTCACTCTCTCAAATAAATAAATAAAAATCTAAAAAGAATAAAGCTAATCATAATGCTGTGATGTAATCATTGAAGCATCACTGAAGAAACATCTGGAAAAATGGTGGTCTGTTATTAACTAATCTGTATTATATTGAGAATAATGAGTATTATACTGAAATTCCTATTTTTATACTTTCACACTATTTCAAGTTGTAATTTATTTCCCATGTATTTCTTAGTCTTTTATAATTTAATTTTTAGTAAAACTTAAAAAGTATGTCTAATAATCTCTTAGGCCTCATATTATTAGACTATTCTCACATTTTTCAGTTTTGTCTAATCCTTCCTTGTAATACCTTCTTTGCCCCTTCTATGACATATTCCTGGTCTTTCCCTCATATCTAACCCTTCTATTTTTATTGTTTTGTTTTTGTCTTTAGCTTTCTCTCCTCTATTTCTTATATGTATGAATTCCCCAAGACTCTATCTCTGTCTCAACTTCTCTTCACCAAAGAAGAAGGCTTATTAGGGGGAGGGAATTAAAATATTTTTAGGGCTGCTTTTATTTGCCTTTAAACATATATTGTTTTACTTAACCTGGCTCTGAATTTTTAAATTACTTTTTGTCTCCATTTGGATATTACCTGAACTGCTTATAGTAAAATTAATTGTTTAAGGGGCGCCTGAGTGGCTCAGTCGTTAAGCGTCTGCCTTCGGCTCGGGTCATGATCCCGGAGTCCTGGGATCGAGCCCCGCATCAGGCCCCCTGCGGAGCAGGCGGTCTGCTTCTCCCTCTCCCACTCCCCCTGCTTGTATTCCCTCTCACGCTGTGTCTCTCTCTCTGTCAAATAAAAAAAAAAATTTTTTAATAAAAAAAAATTAATTGTTTAATATATTTTTGTCCCTGCTAGAAGGTAAGCTATGTTACGTCCATTAGTATATCTCCATTGCCTAGCCCAGAGCTTGGTATATAGTTGGCAATTAATACATATTTGTTAAGTAAACAAATGATATCCTACTGTCACTTTGAAGTTAACATGTTCAAAATTGAACTCATCTGAAATTTTCCTTTGCTTCTATGCCCACTCATTGTTCAGTGTCCAGATCAAATGCCATCTCTTTTCTGAAACTTTCCTTAATCCTCACAAAAATCTCTCTCCCTATTCTATATTCCTTTAGCAAATTATACTTTTATTGTACCTTCATTCTGGATTACATTTTACATATTTATGTACAAAATAGGTTGAGGTCAGGGACTTTCTACCCCAAAGCAGATACATTATTTAACATGATCTAAGGTCTTAGAAAAGGAAAGTGGAGGTGTGTCACTGTTCCTTCCGCATAGTATTGCCCTCTACCCCATCTTACTACTTTCCCCTTATCCTTCAGTCTTTTTTTTTTTTAAGGTTTATTTATTTATTTGAGAGAGAGAATGAGGGAGAGAGAATGTGTGCACGTGCACGAGCAGGGGGAGGGGCTGAGGGAGAGAATCTTTAAGCAGACTCTCTGCTGAGCATGGAGTCCTTCATGGGGCTTGACCTCACAACCCTGAGAGCATGACCTGAGCCAAAACTGAGAGTTGGATGTTCAACTGACTGAGCCACCCAGGTAACCCCGCTTATCCTTCAGTCTTAATTGAGACATTATCTCATCTAGGAAGCTTTCTGAGCCTTGGTCAGGTGTTGACCATGTGACTTTTGTTTTTGTATTTGTTTTTTAAAGATTTATTTACTTTAGAGAGAGAGAGTGTGGGCAGAGGGAGACGGGGAGAGAGAATCCTCAAGCTGACTCCCTGCTGAGCACAGAGCCCAACCTGGGGCTTGATCCCAGGACCCGAAATCATGTCCTGAGCTGAAATCAAGAGTTGGTTGCTCAACCGACTCAGCCACCTGGGCACCTCTGTTTTTGTTTTTTTTTGTAGTCCTCTAGCATCATTAATTTAACAAATAAGTATCGAGTGCCGTTTAGTGCCTGTGTTGTGCTAGGCAACTGGGATAAAGTAAAGAACAAAATTGTTATTATCTTGTCTGTCACATAGCCTACACCTTACAGAAAAAGGCAGACATAAAACAAATAATCACCAAATAAGTAATTAAAAATTACTATGAAGGAAAAGCACAGAGTTCTATGTGAGAGTAAGGCTATGTAGATGGGGGGGGGGTTGATTAAGAATTCTTTGAAAAAGTATATCTAACAAATTTCAATTATGATGATTAAGATTTAGCCAGACAAGAAATGGGGAAAAGGCATTTCAAACAAACATAGTATATCTTCAAAAGACCTAAGAAATAGAAGAACTTGATGCCTTTGAGGAACAAAAAGACAGGCCCATTTTGGCTGAGGAAATAGTATTAGCTCATTATACAGATGAGGAAACTGAGGCTCAAAGAGGTTCAGTGAGTATAGAACATATTAAGGTCATAAAATTAATAAGTGGGAAAGTCTGGTTTCAAATCTTGGACTTTGTAAATCCTTAGTATTCTTTCCATTATACCTTGGCATTCCCGAGTGAAAATTTGAACAAAATCTTTCCAAACTCTGGTATTTTGTTTCTTTTCCAACACCATAGAAAATTCTTTTACTATTTTCTATTTTTTAGCAAAGGAGATATTTGTATGTGGAGCTATTGCTGTCAAAAGAAAAGGGATAATTGATCTGGCAGTAGGCAGAGATACTTCCATTGAGTATGTGGCTTTGAAAACCCATTTTAGCATTTGTTTGACTCAAAGGATTTATGAGCCTCCAGAGTTGTCGGGGTTCTGTGGAATCCACTGTCTATATTAATCTGTGGTTATCTTTGGTTTTTGCTAGTGGAGCATTACAGCTCTCAAAATTCATAGCAAGCATCTTACATTCTACTTTATTTCAATTTAACAGAATAACATTGTAAACTTGACCCACTTCTGGCAAATATTTAAGTTAATGTTTCACAAAATAACACAACCTCCTTTTGGGAATTGATTTCTAGGCAACTGATAAAGCATTGAAGTGTTACCTTTTTTTTTTTTTCTTTCTCATTTTGATGTGGACTTGGATGGGCAAGGGGAGGGAAGAAGTTGTTATGATGCAGAGGCAAATTTGGAAAGGCAGAGTTTTTTCCTCCAGAGAATCTTTGTTACCCTGTAATGAACTGCCTACAATCCAGGATGTTGCAGCCTGCTTGCTTAGTATCCTGCAGAAATGTCCATATCATGTCAGGTCTGTGCTATGTTCTAAGTAACTGGTGACTTGTTAGCTTAGAGACCAACTTCAGGATTGTTTTATATAAGGAAACTTCCCCCGTGATACTCCTGCCTCCTTTTGTAACCTGGTACAATCGTGGTATTTGTTTATCAAAGAACTCTTGCCTCTATGTTTTTTCCTTCTAAATGTTCTTTTTACTAAGAATATTAATTATAACATGAAAGAATGAATTTATTCCATGAGCTCATTTTTAAATTCTTACTGGAATTTTTCATTTGTGATTTTATATCTCTCTCCTCTCAATCTGAAGAAGGAAATAAGTTAAAACTATTATTTTAAGGTACTGATTTTACTTGTTCTGACGTTCTTAAACATTGGTTTTTGTGAGTGTTTTGCTTGAATGAAGACTGTGGAATTAAGCCTTTTATGACTCAAGATTTGGGGGTATTAAAAGCCAAATGCATGGTTTTTTTTGGTTTGTTTTGCCTTTTTTTTTAACTTCCTAAAATACGGTTTTATTATAGTAAATAGAGAAACATTTTAGAGAATATTTTGTGTTATTAAGGAAACATTTAATATTTTGTTTAAATTTTATATTATTTTACTTTATTTTTTTTAAAGATTTATTGATTTATTTATTTGACAGATAGATAGAGAGACAAGTAGGCAGAGTGGCAGGCAGAGGGAGAGGGAGAAGCAGGCTCTCCATTGAGCAGGGAGCTGGGTGTGGGGCTCGATCCCAGGACCCCAGGATCATGACCTGAGCTGAAGGCAGCCGCTTAACCGACTGAGCCACCCAGGTGCCCCTAAATTTTATATTATTTTAAAAGCTTTTATTTATTTGACAGAGAGAGCAAGAGAGCACAAGCCTGGGGAGCAGTTGGAGAGGCAGAAGCAGGCTTACTGCCAAGCAGGGTGGGGCTTGATCCCAGGACCCTGGGATCATGACCTGAGCCGAAGGCAGACACTTAACCATCTGAGCCACCCAGGCGCCCCCTAAATTTTATTTTTCAAAGTATACTTATTTCCCTGTACAGTGTTCTCCACCCCACACATCCCTGAGCATTTTTCTGTTTTGTTCTTTTTTTTTTTTAATGGTCTTCTCTGTTTTTTGTTTGCAGGCAGCTATCAATGGTGTAATACCCCAGGAAAATGGCATTCTACAAAGGTATGTTATAAAGTGCCTAATGGTAGGATGAGAATTTAGCCAAGCAAAAAAGAGACAATTGTTAATTTTTTTGTTTAACTTTTTGATAGAGCATTTGATCTTTGGTGTAGAAGCTCTATTAGTTACTGTTCTTTCAGATAATTTTATTATATCAGTTTCCTAAAGTTTCCAACTTTTAACTATATAAGGTTATTTCAGAATGAGTGATACTATGTTTAATGGTGGTTTTATTTTATTTTTAAAAAAGCTTTTCAAGGGCATCTTCTAATTCATAAAATGGAAGGAACTGAATCTCTGTAGCTCTAGAGCATGGTTATTGTCTGCCTATCCAGGCTTTATCTTCAGCCTTACTACATTCTGTTTTTTTCTTCACTTTTGGTTTCTAAATTAAGTATATGATAATTTGCAACAATTTGCATAAGTCCTTAATTGATGAAACTTCCCAAAGCACTGAACTGTTTCACCTGAAGAATGCATTGTTAACATGTGGAATGGTCTTCGTGGTTTTGTGTCATTGCCGGAGGGTAAAATTGGAAGATGATGCCAAGAGAACTATAAGTTACAAAATAATTCCTTAAATTAGAAATAACTTTTCATAAGTTTTCTTTCCTTAAAATTGGAGACTGGTTTGGATTAAAAGAGGACACTATAGAGTCATAGGAGGTAAAACCATTCCCCCTTCCAAGTGTAGTTTAATTACTTGATTTTTTCCCCCCTCTCTTCTCAGTTCAAACTTTGGCTTGAATTTTGGTGGCTAGGATTTCTAAGTCACTGAAGCATGATCTGCTGAGTGCAGATGAGGCAAACAGAAACAGCAGACTAAGACTGAGGTTGTTTTGGAGAGGAAGAAAAGTGCTGTTGCAAAACCATCAAAAAATTCACCATGAACTGCAAAATGTGCTATACTTTATAGGAAACTGTATATTTAGAAAGGAAGCAAATTCTGTTTGGTACTTGTACTACCCTTAGTAATTAATAGACCTTCCCCACCATTTTTTAAAAACTGTCAGAAAAAATTTCATCCAGAGTAAATGTGGCTGATTTCCAGAGTCTGTACCAATTTTTTGTTGTTGTTGTTCAAAAGCATTAGTTTTATTGAAATCCTTGTCTAGAAAGCAAACCAGGTGATTACAGGAACTTCCTTTATGATCATTTTTTTCCTTGGTTTAGAAAGTTTTAGACTTCTAAATATGGCTTCAGTTTTATTCTTGAGTAAATGTTATTCCACTTTCTGTTCCAAAGTTTTTGCTTGTTAAACCCTTGTGGATTCAGCTTCTGGGTTCTGAGTACATATTGGATACATCTTAAAATTAACAGTATTTTGCTGTGGGTGAACTCTAGAAATTTCCTCATCCCTGGAAACATCCCATCTCTCCTGTCACTAATGGTACTTTTTGCTTAATATTTTATAAGTAGAGATTCAGCACTAAATTGATTTCTAAAACTATAAAATTTGGAGTTTAACGTTCATCAGAGTAGGTTTTTGTTTTGTTTGCTTGTTTAATTAAAGGAATGAATCATATGTGCATAGAAGAAAATCGGTTGTATCTAGCAATAGTCTTCAATTCTCTCCCTTCCTAACTTTGTTATTTAGGTTTGAAATCACTGTGGACTTGACGTAACTGAAAATTCCTCTTGTGTATCTCCTAACCAGAGGAAAATGAAAGAGGGCTCTTTGTTGCTTTCTCATTGGCTTAACACTGAAAGTGGAAGACTTAATAGTAGGAATGGTATATGTAGGTAGTTAAAAGGATTTTTGTTTTGTATGTTTTACTTTTGTAGTGTAGTCTTTGAATGCAGGTGACTCTTAATTTGTCGGTTCATACTTCGACAGAGGAAAGAGCTACTAAAAAGATTTTTTAATATGAATTATTTTTGGATGGAGAAGAGCCCAATCCCTGTGCTTTATAGCTTTTCTTGAAATCAGATTTTTGTGTGAATTCAAAAGTGGGAATATGGTTTTTAATGTTCCCATAAAGTTCAAAGCAAAGAAACTAACATTTTTTAAATGCTTAAGGCACTGTGCTAGGTAATTGATATATTTTTCATCATTTAATACTTACTGTAACTCTTAAGAGGTTCATATTTCATAGTGAGGAAACTTAAGGTTGGAGAGTTTACATAGTTTTGTCCAAGCTCACAAATGTAGTACATGGTGAAATCTGTATTGTCTCATTTTAAAAGCCATGCATTTTTTGATACCACTCTGCCCTATTCAGGGTCAGCAAACTAGTCATGTCATACCTTTTTTTAAAAGATTTTTTTCCTTTGGGTAAAAAAGTTGGAATTTAATACATGTGTATAAGATCTTTCTCCCATAGGTTTGTTTTACAGTTACTATTTTAGTTGTAAGCAAGTAAAGGCAGATATTATTATCCCTCATTTTACAGGTAGAGAGAATAAGGCATGAAGTGACTTGGCCCAGATGATACAGCATGATGTTGATGGAGTCAGGATATAAGCAAGTCTTCTGCCTCATCCTCCAAGGCTTATTTTACTAGACATACTGCTAATACAACATTTTATATACTGTGTGACTTATGCTGTCATAAATGTAAGCCATTCAGTCATAGAACATCAAATGTGTGCATGTTTATTTACTACATCTTGGTATAATACTTTATTTATTTAGCATATTGTCCAGAGCCTTTTTAAACATTATTTTTGGAGACAGTTATTGTTAGAAGGAAGTGCTAATGAATTACTTATGTTAGTAGACAGCACATGCTATATTTTCTAAAAATTTTATGAATCAGTAGTATAATTTTCCTCATTGACTAAGTGGGTAGTATTTGTCAACTCATATTTATTTTTTTGACCCAGACAGTCTGTATGTTTCTTTATCCATTGTTTAATTCATTGAGGAAACCTAGAGAAGACTAGGCATTTTTTTTCTAGTTATTTGCTGTTAGGTTTTCAGAATATATAAATGCTGAGGTTTTTGATACAGATAATATCCATTTTGGTCAGTTAGTTTCTATTTATTGTCTTTTCTGATGCTCATTTAAGAATCTGATTTAAAAAAAAAAAAGAATCTGATTTTTTTCTAAAGACAAATTTATCTTTAAAACACATACATGTTTTTGTTTTGTTTTTGTACCTAGAAATTTTACCTTGGGATGGTTTTTTAAAAATTGAAATAAACATGTACAGAGTTTCTGTTTGCTTTGTTCATTGCCTTCCAATGATATGTGTGGTTTGTAGAGCAAAGTTGACTGAGGATAAATACACTCCTTTAGTTGACCTTTAGATCTAAAATAGATTTCTCCATAGAGTTTCCCTTGCCAATCAGTGTATTTTTTTTTTAAATTATTGATTAACTAGAAAAGAATAGTGAATAGATCAGATTATAGAATGGTATCTTCATAGATGAAGTCTTAAAAATACCTTTTTTTTTTTTTAAGTCAACAATTTTGGATGTCTTTGTACTCTATGGATACCATTGAATATTAGTCAAAATTGATAGGATCATTAACTGGTAGTCTCTCTTTTTCCCTCTTTTTTTGTTTTTGGATTGTAAATTCATTATTTTTTATTGATCTTGAAATAAAATAATTATAGCCAATAAGAAAATTCTCAAGTGAAAACTTTCTAAAAAATTCTCTTGGGTTGACAACACACCAAATAGCCTGCTATGATTAGAAATGTTAAACTGTCTCCTAGAGTTAGGGTTTGGTAAAGAAAAAAAAAGGCACACTAGAGTGTTTCAAACACAGGGAATTTCATATAGGGAATCAGTTCCAGAGATGTGGAGCAGATTGAAAGAGCAAAAAGGGAATACTGAGACAATTCAGATATAATGACGTCAGGAAACAGCTGGACTAGCAGGCAGGCCCAGCTGTGGGTGGGGTGGTCCTGCTATGCTTGAGGAAAGGTGCATAGGTCAAGAGAAGATTTACAGCTGCAGCATCCTCTGAGTAGGGTGGGCACAACCTGGACTGTGTGGACTGGGTCCAGGGTATTGCAGGAAGCCTGCTCTAGGACAGGTCTGTCTGGGAGAGCTCCCTGCTAACCATTAAAGGACACAAAGTCACTCCTAGTATTAGAAGAAAAAAGGAAAGTGATTGGGAGAGATTGAGGTTAACAAGACTTTGAAGCCCAGAGGAAGGGCCCTAGCAACTTGACCCTAGACATAAGAGAAAGAAATCCTGCTCAGCTGATGCTGGTACCTCTGCAGGATGCAGAGGCTTGTTTTGAAGTACTGAAAGAAGCTAGAAGCTAACACCAGTGGCTGATGCTAAAACAAAGTGGGTGTCATTGTTAGAGTAATGTCACTGCTAGGTCACTGGTGTTAAGATCAATGTGCAAAACAGAAGAAGAAGAAAATTTTGTGTGTGTCTGTGCACACACTTGTGTGGTGCTACATTTTTGTTACTGTTACTGTTAAGGCCATGATTAATATTTACCAGTTTCTTCTTCCACTCTTTATATTCCCTCTGCCAGCAACTCAGATAGTCAAGTTTCTTTACTTGGTGGGACATCTCAAACATTTATTCTGAAATAGTCAGAATCCTCAGTGGACCTGCCTTTTTTAAATTGGCTGTAGTTTTCCACTAACTCATAATTGGAAATGCCTCAGAAAATAGTTCATTGTATAGCAGCAACCCAGTTTTTTCTTGGTAATCAGGACCTCCCACCTCACTTCGTACCCCCTTATTTTGCTAGTTGATTCAGTAATATGAAGAGTAGAAAATGGCCAAGTGGCACTCTCAGGTTCTAATTCTATGAAAAGTATTGTGGAAACATTACATACTTGGGAACCATGACCTCTGAACCACCAGAGCCCACAGTAGCAGGAAGCAAAAATTCTGTTGTTATTAGGAGTAATAAAAGGAACCACTACTGACACTTAATTCTCATACCCATGTTTTCTGGCAATATGAGAAATAGCACTGTGTTTTGGTCACTGATATAAAGCATACACTACATCCTTTAAGGTGGAGACCCAAGTTTTGAGTATGTTGTCTCCCAACTGTCTTCAGCAGGACAATTCACTGTTC